GTGATCCTAACCACAAATTACACATTTTACTTTGGGGAAATAAAAACAAAAAAAGGGGACATCCACCAGAGGTAATGGATTTCTTCTGAGATTAATTATTAACTATAAAATTATATCAAATATGGGAAGACACAGATTGAGTTCTTTCCTAACTCAGAAACAGCTGGTAAGGATATTATTTTAATGTTCTCAACGTCAGATGTACCGGTAATTCCTAAAGTTGTTTTATTATTCAGTCTTAAATGTATGAGATAAAAAGTTCCATTTTCCGCAACTGAAGGAAAATATCCAGATAGATTTATGTTTTCTTTTCACCTTTTTTTTGTATTTCACATAATGACTACGTACACCCAAGTAGACTTTGGTCTATGAATTTTTGCCGTCACATTTTTTGGGAACAGCGCCCAAAAAAAAGCATATTTTCCAACAGATCACTTCAGTAACCTGTCTTCATGTGAATGTTTAATAAATCTCATGATCCATCCTAAGCCAAGTTGCTGAATAAAATCTCTGACCACAGGTTCTGCATTGGCTCTACAACAGAGCAACTCACACCACGTAAACCACGTAATACCGTGTGGCTAGCAGGGGGCCGGCCCCGTGTGAATGCAGTCATGCTCCCGTGATAGAAGACGAAGGTGACCGATGTTAGCCTCGATACTCCATTATTAACAAAGCCCCGGCTGCTGTGTTTGTTCAGGGCACGGCTCTCTGGCAGGTGCATCCCACCCACACAAAACCATTACGGTGAAGTTAGCTTGATATTGGATATTGGATCTTCTGTGGATATTTGTTCTTTTGCTTTCAATGAACTGGTAAAACGAGTGATTACAGTCAGAGTAATGGCCCCATTTGTGACCCTAAAAACGGAAAAATAATAATGATTTAGTCACTGGATTCAATACTCAAAGTGCCAAACGTCAGTGAATTAATACACTGTTTTTCTGTATCCATACAAAGGATATTTAGGGAAATGTCTACTTATTAGTCGCTACAGATGACTGACTTTAACACTTTTGGGGATACTTCCTGTCAAAAATGAAGATTTGATAGAGATATTGACAATGTCAGCCCAAAAAAAAAAAAAAGTTTAACTGCTTGAAATCACTGGAGTGTATAACTGGTAACATTTAAACAAAAAGGTCCCAAAACATTTTCCGGGGGATTTTTCAGGAACTAGTCAACTAAAACATCTCCCAAACCATGTCTTGTTGGGACTTATGTCAAGAATATTCAAGGTTCATATGAAATTATCCATCCATGTTCTCATTTCTGTGTCTGAAAAGTATCTCATCTATTGATAGCACTTGTGGAGCCATCATGGTCAATGTAGTCTTTGTCCTTGTCAAAAGCCTTAAGCAAAGCAACACGTCCCTTAAAATATATATTTTTTAAAGTATTGTAGCTTTTTACCCAACACCAAAATGGTGTCTACTTTTGTTTTCTGGTGTGTGTGTCAAGGTATATTAAAACTCAGAGAAAGCATTATAGTACAATCAACGTGGGTTTTTTTGTACATCACCATAATTTATTTAATAAGGGCACCATTCACATCAGGCCTTTTAATTGTCGCTTATGACAAATATGCTTTGTTTTAATAATGAGTCAAAAAACCTTCTTTGTATGTTAATTACTGACTAAATTGGGTAATTGATCACTGATTGA